TAACAACAGTGTAAGACTGTATAATATATATTATACAGATTTGAAAAATAAACAATATGCTTGGGATCGTTGAGGCTTTTGGACCCTTACAGTCAACAACACGTCAGGTGTGTGAGCTGTGTCGAGCTCGGGAAACGTCACTGATGGCAGCTGGCAGCTGATTCATTCACACCAACACATGCTTTGCGTTCGATCTTGCATCGCGCCTTGATGACACTACTACTATGCTCTGGATGAAACGGCGCTGATGGCATCTGATTTGCTTTCATCTTGCACCACGTCTCGAAGACACTAATACCATGCTCTGATGAGCCCACGCCTGAGGCGAGCGCCTTGAATGGGGCATTTGTCTCCTGGCTCACCTGGATTATGAGTGAACCCATGTTTGAGCCGTATCCCCGGATGTTTTCGTGTACTTCGTCGGCGTCGTCGTCCATGTTGTACCCGTTAATGCAAAACGTCCTCTGAGCACAACATTCCAGGTGTAGGGCAAAACGTCTAGTAAGCGAACATGTTGCTGTCATTTTCAAGTGGAGATGCGGTCGCCGTTTGTCATCGGGACACGACACGTTCGTTACACCTTGACGCATGACTATTGAGGCGCTTTCCACCAACACTCAACTTGGCTAAGGCCTGCTTTCCACCAACACTCAACTTGGCTAAGGCCTGCTTTCCACCAACACTCAACTTGGCTAAGGCCTGCTTTCCACCAACACTCAACTTGGCTAAGGCCTGCTTGCAACCAACACTCAACTTGACTGAGGCATGCTTGCAACCACACGCTAGGTTTGAGCGACGGAACGAAAGGAAGGAGAAAAACAAAGCAACCTAACGAACAGGACGTTCGACAAACGAAGTGATGACAAGTTGAGAAAACGCGTGTATGGTGTCCAACCTCCGACAGCAGTGCACGGGAACTAGCGGTGCGAATCGAATCGGAAGGACAGAGCAGTCGTAGCCCAACCGTGGGGTTGGTATCACGCTTCGTGGATGAGACCACAAAGATATGGTACCATGTTAAGGAGGGCCCGATTCGCAGGGTATCCGTTGTCCAGCGTGCTGGCGCGATCTAGCGACCAGCTCGTGACGAGAGACCCCGAAGACTACTCCCCTTTTTCAGCCTAATTGCTCCGCATCAAAACGAACAAAATCGACAGCCATTTACCCGAACGGGCACTCAAGAACATGCTTTGCGGCGAAACCTACGCACAGAATGCTCCTGGAGTTACCACTCGCCTCATCGTTGGTGCCGCCGCGGAACTGGTACGGAATAGCCACCGCGACGATGGGTCTGTCCACGACCATTTGCAACAACCGCAAACAAACATGGGACGGGTTTCCGGCCCACGTGAGGCCAACACAGCGGGCATGCGAGATTTCCAACACTTGCTTGTACACCACGGATACTCATAGTGAAGGCTAAGTGTAGAAACTTCGCGAGGTGCTAAAGGCCACTCCGAGAGGGCCGAGCATGATACATCAGAATACATTTGTAGCAACGCCGACCACGGTAATCACCCAAGTGTAGAAACTCCGCGAGGTGCTAAAGGCCACTCCGAGAGGGCCGAGCATGATACATCAGAAGAAATTTGTAGCAACGCCGACCAAGGTAATCACCCAAGTGTAGAAACTCCGCGAGGTGCTAAAGGCCACTCCGAGAGGTCCGAGCATGATACATCAGAAGAAATTTGTAGCAACGCAGACCAAGGTAATCACCGTACAAGTAGGGCGGGTGAGTCAACAACTAACCCCGGTTGGCATTGCTTCCTCTTGTGCGACCCCGGCTGGTGCGCCCAGAATACTGTACCGACAGATAGTTGTAACGGTCGACGGCCAGAAACAAGTGAGACTAAAAAAAAACAACGATGCATGGCCGCTCTCTCACAAATAGATCCACGCATATCCTCTGCTGATCCAGACGATGGCCGTCTCCCACCACGCGAGCTTCCTGTGGCCGTTCGTCACGTGGACCTTGGCGAGGAGGAACGTCAGGAGACTCGCCTACAGCGGTAGCAGCACCCGAGACGAGATAAAAATGCCGACAGCGTCGTTCAGCAGATGCTACTGGCGTTTCACGAGCGCATGCGGGAGTGACCAGATTCGCGATTTTGAATACTGTAGTAGTTCCGTCGTGAGAAAAAACAAATGGCTACAGCTATTGGGCCAACCCTCGCAGCGGATCTCCCCTGTCAAGCTTTATAGCTACCACAGAGCGTACATGGGTTTAGTGTGCGGTAGTCCCCTCCTTGGTTTTACGGAGTCATAACTTACGCAACAAGTTCATAGTAGAGTCGTGGCGCATTCCGTAGCGCTCTGCAGAGCAAAATGAGGCTAGAAAAACGGATTGGTACGTCGAACATCAATGACGTCATCGGGAGTACCGTGGGGGTGGTTTCTGACAAGCAATGGTACAACATCTAAGCCGCTTTGGATAACGGACGGTTCGGTGAGCATACGTTAAAGGATAGGTGGATCTACTGGAGGACGTTGGGGGTACTATATGGTGGTCATCATTGTTTGTGTGCACGAATACCGCCACACCCTGCATGAGACAAAGCAGGAGAGAAGCAAGAGAAAGCTTCCCGCCACCAACCCCGATGAACGATGCCTACGGCAGGGAATCGTCCAGGAAAACAAACCGTCCTATGTAACGGTCAAAATAACCATTAGTAGACGGAGGGAATTTCTGCCGGAGCTTTCACCCTTGTAATGCTTAGAACACCGCCCTGGGCAAGAAGCTTGTAGCACGCGAGTCGTGTATTCTCATCAGTACAAAGCGAAACTCCCGAGGTTTTCTCAGCTTGTTTCTCAATACGGGAGCTCATGAAACGCGAGGCGATTCTCACGAAAGCGTACAATAACTGTTTATCAGCTTGTCGTTTCTCTAACTCACATCGTAGAGGAGTAGCATGGACACCAGGACCTTGTGGGTCGCCGTGCAGTTTTCCACTGTCACGGGTAGCGTATATTTGAACAATGCGGCGACGACCGCCATGACCGACACGACGTGCGTAACTAGCAGCGTAATATGAAGGAACCTGCAGTGCAGCGAAACGGTCACAACGGGGGGTGAGGTAGATTATCACGTCTGGCCTATGGGCCCTTTATGGGAAAGGGCTCGAATGGTCAGACGTTTGTTCTTGACGACGCACGCATACACATGACATGGTAGACACGTGCAGTTTCCTTCTATTACTGCTACGGTGCCTGTCTTTAATCCGTAGAGTAGCGTAGACTCCCCCACGGCGATTCCTCACAGGGTCCCAGATCGTGGCCTTTAGAAGCATGTTATGTTTTCAACCGCCATGAGACTGACGTATTTTCACTGGTCGATGCAAGTAAAAAAAACACACATGACGTTGGACCCTACCCAACGCTCTCTGCGACAACCGTCTAACCTACGGCGTCGCCTGGCTGGCTTCACACCTGACTTGCGGAGAGCCCGCGCTGTGTGTCCGTGCCCTGGGGGTGCTAACGGCATCGTTTGAGGGTAATGATGGTCGCCTTCCACCCTGGGACGACGATGACGGCTGCTGCAGGCTATGGGCGGCCTTAGCGGCACGGCAGACGACGCTCTTGTACCCGCGGATATCTCGGATGGCATCCATGGCGAACAGGGTCCTCGCCAGGATCAGGGAAAGCGTGATCGACAGGATCACTTCCGCGATCATCGTGCTTCTTTTGTTTGGGGGATGCGCTTATTGGCGCCTGTCGCCTGTAGTCGGAGAAAGAGAGAGAGAGAGAGAGAGAGAGAGAGAGAGAGAGAGAGAGAGAGAGAGAGAGAGAGAGAGAGAGAGAGAGAGACAGAGAGAGACAGAGAGAGACATGATACAACTGTAAAATAGTGCTGCAAATATCACACTTCGTTCTACAATCCCTCGCGTTGTGCTCGCGCGGGAAGCGATGAGGATGGAACGATGGTGGAAGCAAAGGGGAAGCTCGCAGAAGGGACGGTAACCAGGAGTTGTGTTTTTGGTTTGGTGCCTGCCCAAGCTGCTGGAGTCACAGGCTAAAACCAGCCTCTCGGACAGGGCATGCGAAAGACTCGAGGAGAGGCGAACGCGACACATCTCATTCATTCTTGTCTTGTTGAGAAAATCAACAGACCGAACGAAACAAAAAAAACGCCTTCTCTGGGTTTCCAAGAAAGCTCAAAAACTGATTTCCAGGCTGGGAAAAAGCTTGTCTCGGAGAAACATGTTCGTTCTCGGAGGCCTTCATTGTCGATGTCAGAAAACTTAACAAAAAATACCTGTTTTTGGCCAGGCCAACAGCCGCATAATCATGCGTGTGTTCGTATGAAATAGTTTGTAGTTTTCAAGTAGTATTGGTTTCGGGGAATAAAGTGAATAAGAACATAAAGAACATGTTTGGGTTCTCTCCCTGTCGTGCTTGTCTACGACCAAAAAAACAAAGTGTTTCCTGATGAAGAACACCCATTGAAGGTGTACAGCAGCACCCGACGAGGCCATAGCTCACGTGTTCAAGCGCGGTACCAATTTCAGCGAAAGTCATGTGACAAATACCTCTGTGAAATCGGGTCCTTCGAAGCATATCGGAGTGCCCACACTTTCGAAGCTCCTGTTATTATGTTATTGATCACCCTTCGGTTTATCAACAGCTACTACTGCTGTACCTGATGAATCGCACCAGTTTTAGAATGGCGTCGGGTTCGATATGTACCGTAAAACGGAGAGATGGCAACCCCCCTAGACCGACTTTCAAACCTCTATTTTGCTCCACGACCGAGATTGTCTGTACCGTACCGTATACCGTACCGTGGTATTCCGTAAGAGTCGGAGAGATGGCACCCCCCCTAGACCGACTTTCAAAGCTCGATTTTGCTCCACAACCGAGGCGGTGCAGAAAGAACCCGATACGTCGACGGAAAGCTCTCGACGAGATCGTTCCAAAACCACCTTCCGGTGTTGGTACAATCAATCTTGGTTCTTGAGCAATCGAGCTTTGAGAATCGGGCTAGCCAGGGGGTGTGAATTCTCTACCTCTCACAGGTGGCACGTTCCATTGGCCGTCGGTTGCGCGGCTTTCAGCAGGGCGGCATGATCGTCCGCGTCTTTTCTTTACGAATAAATACTTCTTTTACGTATGCAACAAGGTGTTTATGTTGGTGTTGGTGTTTGTATACGGTGACGAAGGCTTCCTTCTTTCTGCAGCCATGCGTGCATGTTGTCTACTCATACAAGGCTAATCGCACAAGCGTACCCTACACGTCCCGAACTCGGCTAGTCCCGAGAGAAGCGCACACCGCATACCACACAACCAAAAATCAAAGAATTCCTTCATCATCGCGCCGAAATGCTGCCTCGGTGCATTACACCCGGTACGGCCCCCCACCGCCCCCAAAAGAACGTTCGGGTCGGTAAATCAATCCGATCCGGCAGGCAGAGCGGACAAGCGCTGAGTGGGGCATGGCTGCTTGAGTTGCGTGCAGCTTCACTGCCGGGGTGACGGACTGCCTGACAGCCACACGCCTTCTATAAAGAAAAGAGCCCCAACCATATGGGAAAATCGCCGCAATTTGCCGAACATGGCCCGCCATGGGACGATGTTTTATGCCTATGGATGGGTCATAGTCGCGAACGTTACGCACACCACAGGCACCACACATCCTAGAGTGGTGTTCCGCTGCACCCCGAACGACATTGTGTGCAAGTACAGAGTCGCGAGTACCTGCCTGGTTTGACAGCGTAGAGAGAACCTACCCAGCACGAGGTACTGGTAGATGGCCAAGGCGGGGTTGAAAAAACGAAACACGCTTGCCGATCTTGACTGCATCCAATGCTGCGGCGTACTCACCACCGAGATCCGTTCCGTGCAATGGTGCACAGACGCACCTACACTATCCAGGTCCTTAGGGCACGACTTCCTAGCTACGTACCCCCTGCTGCCATGCAATTCGCATATCCTTCGGAGTACGTTTGTATGCATGTCTACAGCAGTAGTAGTAGAAATATGTCTATCTCGACAGAATACATAGAAGATCGGGAGGTGGAACGGTTTTTGAATATTTCAAGTTCAGAATAAAAAAGTACCTGGTAGGCTCGTGCGTTGCTACGTTATTACCATTGGCTCGCTTACCACACAGCAGCAGTGTTGACTTGTGGGGCCGTCAGTTTGTTTGTCAAAATAGATACACACACAGAGAAAGACTTTCTGTGTGTGCTTTAGGCCACTTGTTAACCCTTTTGAGTCTTCAGGCGTTCTCACTGATCATTGATTGATCATTTGCAAATGCTGGTGTAGTGGCAAGTCGTGGAGTTGCCGCCCTGCAGCCCTTCGCGCCGTGTATTGGCAAGTCCATAGGTAGGTGTGTCTAGATTATTATTAGCACCCGCGCTAACCGGCTGACCAATGAAGAGACTTCAGTGACAGCGGGTAAAATCAAGGTCTCGGGAATGGGAATGGGGCCAATCAATGCCAAATCATGAATCTCTCAACGTATGCACATGTCAATGAACGCGTGTGTGCATACAGTACATACATACATACGTACGTGTTCTTTCGCAGCACCACACATACACTCGCCCGAACGTAGGAACCCACTGCTGCAAAGAGCAGAGGACAGCAAAAGGGAGGGGTATTGCAGTCCCTGCCGAAGCCCAGATATCGAGGATATCGTGGTTCCCAACAATTTGAAAATCGTTCCCAAGATCCAGCAGTCATTGTTGTGTCAACAGCTACAACGAACGCTACAACACTACTACTACTGCACACTACTACTACTGCTGTAGACGAGTAAAACATATATATCAGCAAAACATCCACACTCGTAGCGCCACACATACCACCCTCGCCCGAACCTAGGAAACCACGAGGTACAGGTGTGTGCTGGTGGATGTGCTTGTTGTTTGAAAAACACAGGAGCTCTAGAGAGTTGGCAGGGCACATTTCGGGGGGGGACAGAGAACAGAGAAGTACACAAGTACAAATACCAGCTATGGGTCTTCACTGATCATTCTCTGGACTGATCATTTACAATATACCGAAAATAGACTAGTTGAGGCAGCTAGACGACTGATCATTTCAAAGGCTACACAGCTAACCTGCCCTACTGACCGCAGCGCGACCACCCACCAACCCTTCTACGACCCTGTCTGTGGCCACCACCCTGTCGCCGGCTTCTCTCATGGCCTACAGGTGGAGATAGCTGTTGCGTGTGCAGAAGTACACACTGGTGTCTTTCTCTGCACTTCTCTCTCTCCCGCTCGCTCTCGCTCTCATTTTTTTATTTTGGCGCAAAAAAAAAAATCTGACAGTCCAGCCTAGACCCAAAGGGGTTAAACTGTCTTTTTTTTGGGCTGTCTTTTTCTCAAAAAGGGACGAACCAAAAAATAATCTAGCAAAAAGATGACCCCCTTGTTACGGTGCTGGTCGATCCTTTTTGCTCATCCGCCAAAAAAAATGACCCTGCAACAAGTGCAACGGCCGTTCGTTACACAGTAAGTACCTTGGCACCGAGTTGGTTTTTCGGTGATATCTCCGCACAGAGCGAAGCATCAGCAACTGTAAAGCTATCCCCCGCGAGCTGGGTGCTTGGTCCGCCTTGTGTGGCGGCTAATCGAGACCACAGGGCAGTGGGAGGCACGGCAACTGAGGTGGCGAGAGTCAACAGCACCTTGAAAAACCCCACCGCGCCAACAACCAGCTTTTTTTGCTCTTTTTTGCCCATGCCGCAACTTTGGTTCATGGATGCTCCCTCGCCACACACTGAAACAACAGCGATGACAAAGGTATCCGCCACGAGCTATGTGTATGGTCCGTCTTGTGTGGTGGTTGATACAGACCAGGAGGCTGACGGGCAGTCAGAGGTTGTGAGCGCGAGAGTGGTGGACAAGCGGGAAAAATGACCCGCCGCGTCTCCAAGCATATTTTTTGTTCTTTTTCCCGTGTTGCAACTTTGGTTCATCGATGCTCCCTCGTCACACACCGAAGCAACAGCGATGACAAAGGTATCCGCCATGAGCTGTGCGTCTCATTCGTCTTGTGTGGTGATTGATACAGACCAGGACGCTATAGGTCACCCAGAAGTTGGGTTCGCAAAAGTTGACTGTGCACCAAAAAGACCCACCGCTGCTGCGTGTCCGCTTTCGGCTCGTTTGTCGCTTGTTTGCCGCACACATCGGGTTGTCCACCTGGTCAGCCGAATGACAACATTACGTCTATCGCCGAGGCTACTGACTCCGTACCACTCACATGACACGACTCGTGCGAATACCGTTAGAGTTTGCGGGGATCATCCGTCGAGATATTCAAGTTTGTGGGCAAGTGTCATGTGTTGTGACAGAAAAAGGGCAACAAAAAATGACAGTCCCATCCTGTCACAAAGTTGCCCGAAAAGAGACAGGATGGCGCTGTCTTTTTCTTCTGTCCCTTTTTCGAAGGTCCAAAAATGCAAAAACAGACAACGTAACAAGTGGTTCTTTGGCCAGTTGTCCTTTTTGAGAAAAAGACAGCCGAAAAAAAGGACAGCTTAACAAGTGGCCTTATTAAGGAATAATAAATACCACACACAGAAAGATTACCTATTCACAATCTCAATGGTAAACCTCTCGCGCAGAGACAGACTCTACAACAATATGGGATAACAAAAAGACCCCCAGAACATGAAGAGCCATATTATTGAGTGGTCGCGACTTGCGGGTCCAACAGGTCCTTCCTTCAACGTTCGGGTGAGCACCGCCCCACCCAACGGCCCAACAAACGGCTACCACAGGGTTGGATGAAAAATCGAAAAATAGCATCTACCTGCCCTTTGTACGCGAGCGAGCACGTGAACTCAACCACAAAAGAGAGCAGCTGCCAAGGAAAGCAGCAGCAGTAGAGCACAGCGCCGCTGAACACGGGAATCAAGTTTCTCGCACGGTGCTTCGTACATCCATGCATACGTATCTAGAGATTGAGAGCCAGCTGCCACGGGTGAGTGAGAAACTACTCGCAACCAGTGTCCGATAGCGTCAGCAAGATGCGGATTTTTCCGTCACACCCTCGCCTTTCTTGCAGATCGACTGGAAAACGAGCTACTGCTGTATAGAGGCGGCAAGACCGGGCGAAAAGGATACGCGCGCATCACCCTTCATGCGCACCCACCCCTGTTCCACGCAGATCAACCCTCCACACATACATGTATGGCGGCAAGACCGGGCGAAAAGGATACGCGCGCATCACCCTTCATGCGCACCCACCCCTGTTCCACGCAGATCAACCCTCCACACATACATGTATGCGCATCCCGTTTGTGGGTAAGGGGTATTATTAACGACCAATAAGGCTCGAACTTCGAACGCGAGATATCGAATTCCAATAGATACTGATGATGTCCCTCCCAGAACACCGCCAGCAGCAGGACAAGTCTACAAAAGAGAGGGGTGGGTTGATTGCCATCGATCATCGCAACAACAAAAACAGAGGAGGAAATCATATATGTGCCCATGACTACCGCCAGGGTCACCTGTACTGCCCACGGGGCGATGCACAGCTCAGTTCACAGCGACATTCGTGGACCGGAAGGTGCGTGTGGTGTATTTGCGAGGAAGGAAGTGTTCGTTCATGAAAGTTCCTAATGTCAAAAATCTGCCACAGACAGAGGCGGAGGTACATGTATAGTTACGGAAACAGCGGTGCTGTGTCTTCTTCCCGCGCCCGCCTATGCTGCTCGCTGGCTGTCAGCCGGCCTTACGGACGCTCCCCTGCATCTGTCAGCTATGTCACCCACCTTTGATCGCGTTGTGCTCAGAGTCTGTCTCGCTTGGGTAGAGAGAGAGAGAGGCGGGTGGTGGGTACAGTGCATACACAGCAGTGGATGGATCGTGCTACTCCTTTTGTTGTGTGTGTCGTTGGTGTTTCGCAAAATGGCGAAGAAGAACGCGGGCGGGGGGGGGGGTCCGTCAACCAACGACACCCAGGCAGGCGATTGATTGACCTATATATATATTAGATCGACCGCTATATATATAAGTGATAGCAACCATGTGGACACAATTTTGGTGCCATTGATTGCTCGATCCACGACAGGCAGGACTTGGGCGGGAGGGTAAAACTTGTCTTGTGAAAAAATGGGAGTCACATACATACATGTAGGTTAAAAATCTTGTATTATTCTTCTTGGTGATATATATCTGATCTCCACCACACACACACGTCTAGTCTTCTTTTCATTGGTCAGCCGGTTAGCGCGGTCGATGCTAACAATAAAGACACACACACACACAAAAGAACTACGGTAGAGTACAAGGTAAAAAGCGTTGGTAGACGCGTCCAGTTTTCTTCTGTTGCTGCTGTTTCTGTCTTTGATCCGAAGGATAGTTTAGCCTCCCCCATGCTGCCCCCTCACGGGGTCCCAGTCGGTTCATGGCAGATAGAAGTAGTAAGTGTTTTGTGTTTTCAACCGCACTAAGACTGACGTCTTTTCATTGGTCAGCCGGTGAGCGCGGTCGATGCCAATAGTAAAAACACACACACCACCACCACCCGTACATACAAGTACACTTTTACTTGTTGTGAGGCTACATACAGCTCCTAATAAGTTGTGTGCCTGCAGATGTATGCATATATATGTACGTATGTATGTATGTATGTAAGTGTTCTCTCTCGTAGTCAGAAACCCGCCAGCCAGCTGTCTGTGCGAGCTGTTGATTGATCTCAGGAAAGATCATTCATCATCATCACAACATCACAAAACTCGACTATTATTGCTGCTGTAAACACTACTTCATACGAACTACCTCGTGGGAGCTACTACTGCTGTTGTTGTACACATCTGATCTATGTTGTACATAGATAGCTGGTCCTTTTCCTGCCTGCTCTTTTTTGTTGCCATCACATCATCCCCTCTTTCTTCATGATGACACCGCTCTCGCTGTGTGTTAGCCAAACAAATTGTTGCAAAACACATTACATGTTGACAGCAAACAAACGCGGACGAGAACATTCATTCACTCCGTCTGGGACGCATGGCTACAGTCCCTCCAAAGCACCTGAGCTCCTTGCTAGACAACGGGTGACTTGGCTTCAGCATGAAAAGATGAAAAGTAAGTGTCCCCGAAACACGTGGGGACACTTTTTATACTGAAGCCAAGTCAGCAAAAATTTCCAGTACCAGGCGATGTACGGTTGGTTGTACTTCTAGGGGGCACGCGGGTTGGGAGATTGTGTACAGCAAGGCAGAGAGGCAACAATATTATATATATTGTATGTTCATTGGTCAGACGGTAAGCGCGGTCGGCGCTAGAAATAAAAGACACACAACACTCGCACGCGCGCACACTAATCCCGGGACAAGCAAGGTAATCCTGGGAGGGCGGCGCGTACGTTCGTTTATAGCTCGCTGGCACGGTTGGTCAACTGATGTACGACGCGTCGCCGAAACCATCACCGACCAGCAAAACGCCTCGCAACTATTCGACAAATCAATCCAAAAACTTCTTAGCGGTGCTCGTCTCGTCCACCCTTTGTTCCCCCCAAGGCAGCTGCACAGCTTTAAATGACTTGTTCTAGGACTCAGTTCTTCCACCATAATTTCGTAAGAGTAGTAACTGCCTTTTCCCGCACATTTTCAACGTGCAGCAGGGTTTTTCATTGTGAACTCCAAAATACACCAAGCAGCACACCGAAGCACTGACAGCACACGCACGGGAGCAAGCGACCTGATATATAAACGTCGGTAACGTTAGGAGCTCCCGGCAAAAAACCTACACGCGCTGTCGCAGGGCATCAACCATGACGGGACTGAGCGCTAGGAACTCACCAGCCAACCAAACCGTCCGGAACAAGAGACGCGACGAAGACCAAAATACAAGATAAGCTACAGAAAGCAAGCAGGGAGAAACATGCGGCCAAGGATTTCCACGGCGACCAACGGGGAGGGACAGACAGACCAAGCCATCGTTGGCAGCGTAAACGACTTTGAGGGCGTCCGAGCTTCTGACCAAGACCGATTGTTCCCCGGAGGTGGACCGTATTCACCGGGGACGGTCACAGCAGCAGCAACAATACGTTGCGAGCAGCTTTTCCAAGGCAAAAAATGACCAAGCCAAAAAAGCATCCCACGCTACGGACCAACCACCACGCTGCTCAGTAGCAATATTCTCAGAGCACACGCTTGGAAGCCTCTCAGACAGACAGCCCACAACCAATCAAGGCACCAGGTTTCCGAAGGGAACGGCATTCACACACCGGGCGGGGTGCCCCTCCCCCCCCCCGTTTCCCCCCCCCCAGCTCGCTTCGAACAAGGCTTGCAGGCCGGTGTCCAGCAGTCACTGCGACTCCTTTCTCGACGTTCGCATCATTCTCGTCGCAACTCCTGGGCTTAAGAACGACTCTCGTTTCGAAAAAACGATTCGTCACACAGATGCAACTAACCCCCCCTCTGCTCCTGCTCCTGCTGGGACTGCGCGTGTCCTGCCCTATCATGTTCATGCCGATCCAGGCAACGAAATCACTCTACCCAATGCGAACCACATCGGGAGTTTGCTCGGCTCCCCCCGCACGCCTCGACAACTCCACCTCCTCCTGAAAACAAAAAAAAAACACGCGAAGGGGAATGCGACAAGACAAGAGCATGTTTAGACATGCTTACTGCTGGCGGTTGTCCTGCACTTGGTAACGTTGGGAGACAATACAGCAAGCACTTGGTACCGTTGGGACAGAATAAAGAAAGGACGACGTGACCCCTCAAAGAGCCGTCCAAGTGAATGATACGTAGACAAAGCAGGAAACACAGACCCGATTTTGCTTAGGTTTCTGACAAAATACGCAACAAAAACAATGAAGACATGTGAATATGCATATAACACACACACACAAAAACTCACTGCCAAGAGACGATTTCGTTCTGTTTTTATTAAAAAGAAAAGAAAACACACACACCGACATAAGAAATTGTTGTGTTTTAATCCCGCTCCAAGACTGGCGTCTTTTCATTGGTCAGCCGGCTTCATATGTAGCGCGGTCGACGTTGATTAAAAAAACAACACACACCGGCATTAGAATGTGTTGATAGTTTCTATGTCGCTACAGGACTGGCATCTTCTCATTTTCATTGGTCAGTCGGGAAGATGCTAACTAAGAAACACATACAACCATACAACAAACCACCGAGCACGAAACGTTTCGTTTCTGAAAAAAAAAAAAACTCACACACACACACAAATAGATAAAAGCCAAACTCACCGCTGCCTGAACAGGGAGGTACATGGGCGCGCCCCCGCCCCCCGCCTTGAAGTGCCGGTACGCAACCATGCACCCCCCGAGGGACATCGAACAGCCCACCAGCACCACCATCGCCCAAAGCACGTCCACAAAAATTGTTCCCGCGCCGGGGGCCTCCTGGAAAGAATGAACGCAACAAGGAAGATGGGAAGAGAATAGCACACATTGTCAGCAAAATGGGTGTGTGTAGAGAAAAGGGTGGGTTGTCGGAGATTTCGGAGATACAGCGCCACCAAGGATTATCAAAGAACGAACGTCACAAGGAGGTTGGGACGAGCACACAAATTTTCAGCAAAATGGTTGTGTCGAGAATAGGGTGAGTTCAGGAGATTTCGGAGATTTAACGCGGAGAAGGACAGAAACGCTCTAAGAGGATCAAGAAGAGTCAACAACAGGGTTAGGTGTGCTTCCACTGCTGTCCCCTCTGTGAGAGAATCGGGCCGGCACTCTGATTCACCGCCCTGGCGTTGTCCGTGTGTCACCACTGCTGGTGGAGAGTACGCCTACGCTATGCGTCAGGCGCACTTGCGCGTTGTGTGGGTCTCCCTGTCGACTCGGTCTTGTTACTTTTTTCCCACGAACTAACACCTTTAATTGTTGTGGCATTCTGTTGGCAAGTCTATGCAAGCCAAAAGCTGCCCAAGAGTGCCGATGCGGCGTCATGGGGTTCTACAGTCTCGTCTTGACTCGTGATTTTCATGAAAGTCATGCTGCTAAGGCACAAATGGAGGGCAAAGGCGCGTACCACCTGGTGGAGAAATCGGTGGGAAAAACTCCTACATCGCGGATATAACGCGGTACTGTAGCATGCCGAGAACTTGCGCACAACTTGGCCGGAAAAGGTCGTCTACCAAAAACATGGCGGATAACGAGGTACCCTGTGGAGATCTTCAAGAAAAACCGACCCACTATTACCCTAGGGCACTTGCGTAAAAAACCGGGTCACTACTACCCTACGGCGAGGTACAAGTATGGTACACCCACCTTGTGGAGAACTTCGTGGTCATTCCAGTCTCTCTTGTACGGGGCCTGTGCGTTCATCTCCTGTCCGTACAAGACTCCGTCGTCATTCCAGAGCATCTCCCAATCGTCATCGTCAAACCACGAGCTCGATTGGTAGAACGTTGTCAACGTGAAGTTCGAGTTGCCGTCCCCCCAGGGGCCGCAGTCCTGACCACGTGGAGTCACGGTAGTACGGCAGAGGCGCGTTCGTGATAAGGCATGATATAAAGTCACGTCAAGGCAACTCGTGTCGTTGCGTGAACTCATCTTCCAGGAAGGGCAGGAGTCCGTATCCACGCCTTTGATCCCACAAGACCAAAAACATCGATTGATGGCCAAACCTGGACGGCTGGCACAGATGATAGTGCTGCTCTCTTCTCCTTCTCCTGGAGCGTCATATCGCGCGCTCTGCCCTTTTCTCTCATCCCGTCTACCGCTATCGCTCGCACTACGTCCCCCTCCTCAAAACCTCCGGCTTCTCTAGCACACCGCATCTCGAGGGAGCCCACAGGCAGAGACCAAACATCAATCATTTTCGTATTCAATCCTTAATCAAGGAAGGACGTCCGTCAATACAAAAATACACCCGCAAGAAAGAAAACCATGAGATAACAAAAAGGGTAAACCCTCACTTGGCAGTCCGTTCCTGAGGGGCATACGCCGGAGGCACGGGGGTCGTCGCAGTATCCGTCTCTCGCGTGCTGGCATGTGTTGGTGCAAGTCCCGTCATCCACGAACTGCAAGACGCCACACGATACCACAACGAAAAAAAAATCATCGAGAGCAGGTTGGTCAAGCCGCGCGAGCGGGACAACGTCAGCAAAGACGTAAACGAAACGCAAGGGGGGGGGGGAAACAAGCACGACGAAACAATAGGGCAGATTGATGAAGCCAAGCGCATCGGCTACAGCAAAGCGAAAAGTAAACTCACGGTGGCACTGGAAGCAAACAATACTCAACGAATACCATGGAGCGGCCTTGTCCCCCTTATTGCGCGCACATCGAAGGAAATCAAAACTATTGCATTGCAGTTTGTGTAGACGAATTAAATTCGACTCTGGTTTTCTGATAATTTATCGAGCAGCAAACACAGCACTGCCGAATCAACCCACTTGTACGCCCTGTCCAGACGCAACCCCCCCCCACCCCCCCCGTAGAACCACTGCTCGACCAATAAGGTCGGTCTGGTTTAGTCTACGACAAGTTCTCTCCACGGCCAAGGAAACATGGAGCACACAACTTGACCGAAAAAACTAACAGGAAAATGGGACCAAATCACCAACCACCCTCTCGCGAGGACCACCTGCGCGAGGACTTTCTCATAAATGCATGGAGTATCATAGAGAGGGGGAGTTCGTCCACTAGAAGGCCCCTACTAGTGCCGATTATGCACCAGACCAATCATAGCCGCTCTTCAGAGGGACCGGCACCATTCAGACCAGGGATATACGTAACGGATTCATGCATAGTACAGGGGTAAACACTTGGGCCCAGAGGTCGTGTTCAACCGGCCCTACTGAGGGCCCTCTACTGCGCCCATCATCGCACCTTCACTCCGCAGTCAGTGCAGTCGGTGCCCACGTCGCAGGGAGACATTCCGTTGAAGAAACCGTCATCGTCCAAGGTCATTCCGTAGTACTGGTACGTGGTATCGTATCCGGCGTAACGGTACCTTTTGGCAAGGAGAACAACAGGACGAGGAGGGTGTCAAGGGAAGAGAGGGGGGCGGGCTTGGAAACATGCCAACATGGTGAATGCACGCATGCGCAACCCACACAAGGGACGAAGTGCATGATACTACTATAATATATAATATATACTTCCAAGTGCACGCATATCGTAAAGATTGCGAGTCAGCGCACAGGGGTGCGAGCGATTTTCTAAGCGTAATTTCTCACAACCAGGAACCAGGAGGTTACCACGGTCGAAAAGGGCGGTTAATATCTCACCGACAGCTTTCCGGACAAATTCTCGCAACCTTATGGTAAACAACCCTCGGTGGTCTTAGTTTGAACCAAAAAGCCACAGGACAGCAGCAGCCTTCCTACGATTTTTCTATCAAGTGAGCACGTTGGATAAAGTATGCAATCGAGCGATCGAGCGACTTGGGTTAGGGTTGTTAGAACAGGGTCTCCGTGAACCCTTCCTCTTCTACTTCCTCATTAACTTCATTAAACTTATTTTCTCGCGAACGCGGTCCCCACCACAGGAGAGACAAGACAGCACGGCCGACACGAGGCACGGGTGGAAGCTAAACTCAACACTTCACAACAGCTCATCCACAGCAATACCCTTGCACTGCTTGACGCAAGGGGGGCGGGGGGGGGGGGGGGGGATTTTGAGGTTTTGGATCTTGGAGGCAAAAAACCCCCCGTTCCCGGGGGGGGGGGGAAAACCAAAAAGGGGGAAAAAGGGGCCTGGGGGGGCCCCCGGGGAAAATTTTTTTGGGGGAAGGGGGGGGGTTTTTTTGGGGGGGGCAAAAGGGGCGGGCCCAAAACCCCTTTATTTTTTGGGGCCCAAGAAACTTTTTGGATTTTCGTCCGAACCCCCCCCAAAGGCGGAAGGGGTGGAATTTAACCCTGCAAAAAAAAAACCCCCCCCGTAAAAACCCCCCCATCCTCCAAAAGGGCCCAAACCCCCAAATTCAAAAAAACCCGGAAAAAGGGGGGGGGTTAAAAATA